ATAATAATAATAATAATAATAATAATAATAATAATAATAATAATAATTGCAAGCAGAAGTAGAACGACTGTGGCGAAAGAAAGCAGAGGTGGAATCCATAGTCATGAGAGTCTTCGTGTGAGGACCCAGAGTATATCAGAAATATAACAAAATCCAAAATGTCACTAAAAGTCCTTTCATGCCTTCAACTTGGCTTCACTGTTTTAATTGTTCACAGTGGAGGAGTAAACTATTTTCAAAATAACACTTCAAAGGCAAGAAATACAGTTCACATTCAAAGCGCCGATAACGAAGACAAAACTGAATAAAGTTTCCACGACAGACCAGGATAGATAATTGCCAGCTTCAGGAAGATAACCAGGGACAGTCCGTTGGAAGAACGCCAACCAAGATAAACCTTCTTTAGGAATAAAACACTAAATTGTCTCCAGCGTCGGTTAGCACGCAGGTCCAAACTCTTATGCAGATCTCACACCTGCAACCCATGAAGGGGATCATGGCCCTCTCCTCCTGAGTAGACCACCTTTTACCCTGATCCTCTCCTCCCTGCGTGCCCACCTAGGATGGATAGGGGATGGGCCTGGGTCCTCCTCTGACTGCTCAGAGTCAGTCTCCACCAGGGGCATGACACTTCGGTGCGATCCCCCAAAACCACTAGAGTACTGTTATGGGCACCTTCGTCATTGACAAAAATCCCCGGTTGGTCAATTGCAGAAGGCAGCTATATTAGGAACCACTTACATCCTGCAAAGAGATCTTTTAAAACCCTCAATAGGTGGACAGAAATGCCAGATCCAGTCTAAATACCTGCTTAACTGTGCCGTGAACTGTAATATAGGTAGCCCTCGACTTACAACAGTTCATTTAGCGACTGTTCATTGAGTGACGGCACTTAAAAAATGGGACTTGTGATCATTTCTCACATGACCTTTCCAGCATCCCTGTGCTCATGTGACCAAGATCCAGATGCTTGGCAACTGGTTCATATTTATGACCATTGCTGTGTGCTGAGGTCATGTGACCACCTTTTGCAACTTTCTGATCGGGGGAAGTCAATGGGGAAGCCAGATTCACTTAACAACTGTGTGACTCACTTAACAACAGCAGTGATTCCCTTAACGGTGGCAAGACATTTCATAAAATGGGGGCAAATCTCACTTAACAAATGTCTCACTTAACCACAGAAATATTGGGTTCGGTTGTGGCTGTAAGTTCCAAGAACTATCTGTAATTTGTGATTTGAATGCCATTGGCATTGACAAAATGCCCATCGGTCAATTGCAGCAGGCAGCATTGCTTGGAACAGCTTACATCCTGCGAAGATGTTTTCAGCACCCTCAAACTTCCACATCTGCCTATCCCAGGTCCTTGGGAAGCTCTCCAGAGGTGTCAGCCTTCAAGATCTTTTCTACTGCTTTGCATCTTTTGGCTGTCATAAGTAAGGGGGGGGAAGAGGGGATATGTCTGGGAAGAGAGCTGGAGGTGTTACATTCTTGTGTTGTGTAAATGAGGAGTGGGGGGGAGTATAAATTCCTGCTCTTAAGTTTCTATTCCTCGCTTAGCTTTCTTTTCTCTGCGCAGCTGCAAATCTTTATCAAAATATGTCAAGGTCAACGGACAGAGGCCTCATCACCACCTGAAGATGCCCACATGATCATATTCACAACTTTTAATTGGAAGACTCCTTTGAACTGTGAGGGGTGGGAACATTTCCAACACTTTGTATATGTGGTCTGCGCGCCTAATTTCTTAGATTCAGAATTCTATTTGATGCTACCGCTTCATTTTCAGTAAAAGACATCTTTGCTCTAATCTAAAGAGTCTTTAAGTTTTTCTTTCTTGAATTTTGAATGGAGCACCACCTGACAGTGCCAAATCCCGTCTTAAGCATCTGGCTGAATGTGCAACCAATCCTAATAATGAAATTTCCTCTTCCGCAGGGAGCAAGGTGGCCGGATCTTGTGTGGTGTGATGAGGATTGGTTTGGTGGCCAAAGGATTGTTGATAAAGGACGACATGGACCTGGAACTAGTATTGATGTGCAAAGAAAAGCCCACAGAGTCCCTCTTATCCCTCGTCAAAGACAATCTACCTGTCCAAATCCAGGTGAGTCCATCTCTAGAAGCCCACATTTATAACTACCCATGTTTCCCTGAAAATAAGACCCTGTCTTATATATATATTTTTTGCCACCAAAAAAGGCACCAGGTCTTATTTTCGGGGGATGTCATCCACCGACTACACTACGTTGCCCCCCCGGCCTCCTTTTCGCTGTCGGAGGCCTTCGGGAACTTCTTCTGTGGCCAGCAAAGCTTTCCTGAAGGACTCTGGATCGATCCAGAGCTTTGTTATCAGCTCCAGGGGCCTTTAGGAAACCCTGGCCGACCTTTGCCGGCTGCAGAAGAAATGGGCCGGCGAGGCAGGTGTCGGGGGTGTGTGAGGCTTGGCTACACCTGTCCAAAGGTAAGTAGTAGGGCAGCTCCAATCCATCCCCATCCCCACCCTAGCTTAATTTTTACCTGTCCCCTCTGGAGTGGGTGGGATCTTAATTAGGGCTTATTTTGGGGGTAGGGCTTACATTGGGCCCACATGTAAAAATCAAGCTAGGATTTATTTTCAGGGTAGGTTGTATTTTCGGGGAAAGAAGGAATCTCCGGATGCTGCTTCTCCTCCGTGTTTATTATCTGGGCATAGAAGAAACGTTTCCCGGTTGTTGTTTTTCCTCAACCAAGGAAAAAAATGGGGGGCGGCTTAAAAACGCACCCCAAAGGAGTACCTTTTCAGTGGACAAAGAGGTTTTGCTGGGACCAAGAGTGTGTTTTATGCTTTTTTAAGGAAGCCTGGGTCAGAACCTCATCTCTGCCAGAGATTCTGGAAGGCATTAAAAACAACAACAACAACCCCAAATGACCATTTCCTCCCCAAAAGAAAACTCAAAGCTTTGCTGGTGCTGCGGCTGTTGAAATGTTTATGGCTGCAGTTCCTGCAAAACGATCGGTTAGCTCAGTGCCGCCGAGGTGGAGGTGAGGGCCGAGCATTTCTCCGCCGGGCTTCCAGCTCTCCTCCCCGCGGCTTGACGGAGGCCCGTTTTCTGGATATTGTTTCAGAAACTTACCGAAGATAAGTACCACATAGAACACCATCCCAGCGAAGCGGCCATCGTCGTCCGTAGCACAACGGGGCTCCCCCTCACCCTCAAGGTGACGCTCACCTCTCCGCTAACCCGGGATGAAGCCGAGAAGAAGGACGGAGGTAAAGAGAGACGTTGGAAGGGAGAGGCCGAGCCTTGGGTGAAAGGGGGTCTCACTCGTGGCCCCACGGGAAGGGGGTTGATGCATTTTGATCATAGAATAGCAGAGTTGGGAGGGACCTTGGAGGTCATCTAGTCCAACCCCCCTGCTTCGAGCAGCAGAGCCTATTCCAAAGATGAGCCTCTACCTAGGATCGAACTCACAGCCTCCTGATTGTGAGGCGAGAGCTGCTTTCTGGTCACCAAATAGCAACAGCGCTTTACAGTGCTAGTACAGCTCCCTCTAAGCGGTTTTGACAGAGTCAGCCTCTTGCCCCCCCAACAATCTGGGTCCTCGTTTTACCCACCTCGGAAGGCCGAGTCCACCTTGAGCCGGTCAGGATCGCATTGCCGACAGTCGGCAGAAGTAGCCTGCAGTACTCCATTCTCACCACTGCGCCACTTCTGCCGCCAAAGATACTGCTCGGATTTCTAGAAGTATAGAAACTAATTTCCTACGACGCTGCCTGATCCAAAGACTTGCAGGATTGGCAGCCAAGTGTGAAACCAGCAAACTTCTGGAGTGAGCTGGTCCTGGACTGTAGAAAGCTTTGATTTCTACAGACTGGAAACTGATGATCCGGTGGGTCCAAGGCCCAAGGGGTCAGGGATTAGATGGGTTTTGGTGTCCCTCCAGCTCTGAATCCAGTTCAGAGGTATGGATTTGGGGCTAAGCATGAGAAGAAAATTTGCCACCTGACATTATAAACCTCTGGAGATAAGTCATCTCTCTTTCACTGGATGCTGATTTGGAGGTAGAAGAAGCCGTTTCTTGGTTCCTTTCTAATTAAGTGGTTCTAGAAACCGTTCGAGTCGTATTTCCGTTTGTGCCCAAGGAAGAGAAAGGTTTCTAAAGTCAGTCCCTATTTTCATTCTCTCTCTATAAAAGCAAAATACCACTCGAGCATCGTCACAAAATCTCCTGAATAGTAAAGCCTGCAAACTTGAAATTTGGCACTTACGTTCCTCTTGGCTTTTAGGGGCTCGCTAAGAAAGGATTTTTCGAAATGACCATCAGAGCATTCGTATTTCATATATTATTATTATTATTAACACGCTCTGATGCTAAGGAGTTCTACTCCCCCTCCCCACCTGAAAAGAAATTTCCTCCAAGTGCAAAACACAAGCAGAGGAGAGGAGTTTCAGTTTCAGAGCACCAAGCAGCTTTAGTACAGAACAGTTGAGCTAAGCCACGCCCAGGCTCCTTACTGTCTCCTTGCTCACACAGCAAATACTCTTTCAGTTTCCAAACAGCCCTCAACTCTCTCACACACTGACAGGACACTAGGCAGATTACCAATGGATGCTGATAGGCAGAGGCAGAATTTTCCCCCCCTTATTTTCCTCCCCCAATCTAAGCCCGACCACATAGTTTTGTAGCGAAGCACGGGGATTGAGCTAGTAATTTTATAATCTTATAAGGAAGTCCTTTGAGTTGGTTTTATGTCCCACCAAGTGACCTTCAATTTACCACTGAAGTTTTCTTCTGCTTTGCTATCAGTTGACAATCAATATCTGGTCACTTTGCTTTAAATGCTGCCCGCCGATGAACAGGAGACAATTAACATGAGAAAAGAGTTCTGTCCAAACCACAAAACGTTGTGTGTTTCCTTTTCCTTTCAAACATACTGACACGCCGAACGAAAGCTTGGTTTCCACACGGCCCAGTTGAAGTTACAGCTGACTTCCATGGACGAACCGGATGGTCATTTGTGAAATTTTATCTGGTTAATTCCTCGCTGGGCCCCTTTCTCCTGCTTCTGTGTCTGCCTTGGCTTTCTGTCTGCAAGAAGACACAGCGATGGCTGGTGTGATCTTCCGCGTCAAGGAGAGAACAGCAGTGAATCCAGCCTAATTTCATAGTCCCTCTCTTCTCAGGCCCCTCACAATGTGACCGTGGAGGTCTTTGTCCTTGGAATTAAGCCCAGGCATCTTGGATGGTTTATCTGTCAAAAAATCCAGGGTGGCTTTGTTAATTGAATGGGTTTCCACCCCTCTTTCAGGGTCCTGTCCTGACTTGAACCATTGGCAACTGTCAGGGTCCCAAGTCACACCCCCAACAGAATCAAAACTCCAAGGCAGGCATATTCCTCAAAGCACAGATTTAATAGGCAATGTCATATTGGCACGTCTGAGGGACTCAGCGGTGGCTCAGCGGCTAAGACGCTGAGCTTGTCGATCCGAAAGGTTGGCGGTTCGGCGGTTCGAATCCCCAGCGCCGCATCACGGAGGGAGTTCCTTGTCCCAGCTTCTGCCAACCCAGCAGTTCGAAAGAACGTAAACGATGCAAGTAGAAAAATAGGGACCACCTTTGGCGGGAAGGGAACAGCGTTCCGTGCGCCTTCTTTGGCGTTGAGTCATACTGGCCACATGACCACGGAGACGTCTTCCGACAGCGCTGGCTCTTTGGCTTTGTAACGGAGAGGAGCAGCGCCCCCTAAAGTTGGAAATGACTAGCATGTGACTAGCACCTTTACCTTATTGGCACGTCTGGGGGAAACCCGACTTTTAACATACACCCCCGGTTTCCCCCCAGTTAAAAGTAACGTTTTCCTTGCCCTGCCCCTGCGCTCCATCCAATCAGGCCACAGTCCGAGGGTTAGTTGGTCTTGGTTCCCACCTCCTTAGCACCTGGTGGGAAAGTCCTTGGTTCCCAGAGGAAAGAATTTTATTTTGGCGACAATCATCCAGCTATCTCTACTTCCCCCCTCCTGTTCCCCAGCTCGACTCCTCTCCACTGTGACAACCCTGTAGATGCCAAGGGGAAAATGGCTTCAGGTGTGACAGCAACTTCTATAGGGATGTCAGAGGTCGCTGAGCCCCCTTTCTCTGTGGTTCATGTTTCCCTTTGCCTCTGCTTGCCTTTCCTCCTTGCAGTATCAAGCCAACATCACCGTAGGCCCATGAGTGCCATGGGTGGCACGCAGAGCCATTTGTGTGGGCACGCAAGCCCCAGCCAAACTTACCTGCACTGTGCATGTACGCGTGCCTTTCCAGCTGATTTTCGGCCCATTTGAGGCCATTTTTGCCCTTCTGGAGGCTCGAGGGAAGGCTGTGCAGCCTTGGGAGGCTGAAAAATGGGCCTTCCGGAAATACCACAAGTGCCGAAACAGGCCCATTTTTCGGCCTCCCAAGGCTGCAGAGGCTTTCCTCGAATCCCCAGGAGGGCGAAAACAGCCTCAAACAAGTCAAAAATCAGCTGGGAGTCACACATATGTGCAGTGCAGGTAAGGGGGCAGGTGTATGTATGTCGTGCGTGCATGTGTGTGTGGGGCAGGCGCATTGCATTGTGGGTGTCAGCACACACACACACACACACACTTTGGCACACCACCACAAAGAGGTTCACCTTCACTGCTGTAGTTCCTGCGTCCTTGATGTTGGATCTGCTTGCCTTTTGGAGCAGGCCAGCCAAGACTTCCTACAGTTTTGGTTGGGAGGGATCCACGCTGATCCCAAAAAAGGAGCCCAGAGCAGATTTGAGAGTTGTTCCCCGTATCCTGGCCATCAACAACGTTCTATTCTTTTTATGGTTGCTGCTGCCATCCTTTGCAAGGGGAAGCATTCGGCCCCAATCTAGGCATTGCACAAATTCTATTGTGGAAGGAACAAATTTGATTTTCCTGCCCTGATGCCACCGACTGGATCAGTTTAGCAGCAAATCTTGAACGCCCACCGTTCGGTTGGCAGTCTTCCCAAAACTGTGCACATGCAGACAAAAGAAGCGATTCAACATGCTCTTTTTACTATTGTTTTTTTTAACTATTATTAAAAAAACACACAAACAAAAGCGTTTTCTATTGTGAGTCCATTTATTAATTTTTGTCCATTTGCTGGCAGTTTTTCGATGTAGTAAAACTGTGTCTTTATTGAGGGTCTGTCATCTGGATGAATGGTTCCTCTGTTCGTCCATTCCCCCTCCCCTCCCAGTCCTTGGGTGTGTGTGTGTGTGTGTGTGAATCCCTTTCCCTGCCCTGTACCAGCTGCGGGGAGCAATGAATGACAGCCCGCCCGCAACCCAAAAAACTCCCCCATCACAGTTGATCTGGTGACTTCAGGGACCTCAGCTTGGCCTGATGTAACCTTCAGATTATTTCTTCAGTTCCACTTCCAAATAACTGAGGCTGTTGAAGGTGTTGATTTGCTACCATTATGGGTTCTCCTAGAGTTGTGTCTCTTTCCTCCTCACTCTGCCCTCCGTTGTTTTAATGGACTCCACGTGGCTTGAAGTCAGGAGAAAAAGAGAGATGGGTTTTTCTGAGGGAAACCTGGGTTTCTGGGTAAAAAGCTGGTGTAAGTTGACGTGGCCCATTGTTGGGCCAAGAAAGAAACCCAAGTGAGAAGAAGAAGAAGAAGAAGAGGTCAACTAACCTTTAGAGGAAGGCCTCATGTTGACACAGATTCCACCCTACATCCATTTGCAATGCTAATGCCCCTTTCTTCACCCTGGTCTCCTCATGACCTATTGTATCTTCTCAACCTTACCTAGAACCTCCTTACTAACCTTTTCACCACCATTGATGGACAGGCATGAACCGATGACCGTTTTCTACCCATGGTTTTTCCCCAACTGGTCCTCTTCCTCTCTTCCTCCACACCAGCTCCTCTTTCCATTCTTCTCTTCCCCCCCCCTCCTCCCCGCCTCTAAGAGTTTCACTCTCACAATCGCCTCCTCCCAACCAAGAGGCACAACCTTTCGGAAACACCACAGCATAACTTCTCCCTGTTGTTTTCCAAGGTCCCCCTCCCTCAACCTCTTCAGCATGGCTCCTTCAGGAAGCATTAACCAGCACCGCGAGGGGAAGGTTTTATCTTCCTCCAGGGAGAACCATTAAGGCAGAAGAAGGTTCACCGGGAGGTTCTCAGAATCGTCCGCCATTTGCTTTTCCTTCGCTCTGTGTTAATGGTTACCCATCTGCACGAGTAGTGAAGGAAGCTGCTAGGACCATTCGTGGTTGGTGAGATGGCCTTGGAGGTGGACAATCTGTCGTTGTTGCTTTTTTTCTTCCCCTCCCCTCAGGCCTTTCAAGCAAAGTCTTCATTTACTCACCGATTGCCGTACGAAGCTTAGATTTGAGCAGATCTTTCTGCCGTGTCTGGGCTGTCGTTTGTGAAAAACGCCACTCTGTAAATTTGATTAATAAATCAACGGACGCCATTCGCCTTCCCTCAGAAGTACAAATGCTTCCAAAAGCTTAATACGATCCAAATGACTCCAGTTATCCATGGAAGGTGAGACGAGCGGGATCCTTCCTCTCCTCGGAGAAAGAACTGTTGCTGATTAAAAGTTGGGGAGAGAAAAAACAACAACCGCAGCTAACTTCCTTTTTTTTTCTGGAAAAAAACAACAACCAACCAACCAACCAACCCCTCCAAAATTAGAGTTGTGTCCTTGTTGTGCTTGTGAGCCACCTGATGGCTAATCTTGTCAATGACTATGCAGCTTTTATTGGGCGTCTTGCAGATCCACCAGTAACCCTATGCCAAATTAAAAAAAAAAATTTAAAAAAAAAAATCAACTCTGCTGCACAGTTCATAGAGGGTTGACGATAACCGTGTGAAGCTTTGTGGTTACTCAACAAGGCAAGAAGAGCGAACGCAAGACAGATTTTTTGAGGTTTACTCTCTTTTTCGGTTTCCTTACACCCCGGTGGGCCCATGGTTTTGAGTAAAGGTTGAGGTCTTCCATCTTTGGAAACTTTACAGCTTGTGGACTTCCAAACTCCCAGAATCCTGGGAGTTTGGAAGTCCACACAAGTGGTCAAGTTGCCAATGTTGGAACCGCCTGGAGTAAAGGTGAAAGTACAAATACAAAATACAAAGCTATATATTGTGCTTCTGACCACGTATTGCATTGTTAACATTCTTCCCAGGGATACGGTGTGGCTCGGTGGCTAAGATGCTGAACTTGTTGATCAGAAAGGTCGGCAGTTCGAATCCCTAGTGCCACGTCACGGAATAAGCTCCAGTTCCTTGTCCCAACCTTCTGCCAACCTAGCAGTTCGGAAGCACGTAAAAAAAAAAAATGCAAGTAGAAAAATAGCGGGAAGGGAAGGTCACAGTGTTTCGTGCGCCTTCGGCGGTTAGTCCTGCCAACCACATGACCACGGAGACGTCTTCGGACAGCGCTGGCTCTTCTTCAGCTTTGTAACGGAGACGAGCACCGGCCCCTAGAGCTGGAAACGACTGGCACGTATGTGCGAGGGGAATCTTTACTCTTCCCAGCTAGCAATCTCGGTGTGTGTTCAATCACACCCAACAATTGCTTCCTCTCCCTAAAAAGCAAAGCTGGACAAACAGCAGTTTTGGGGAAAAAATTTCAGAAGAACACACACCGACACACCCTTAACTTCCGCCCCAGTTGCTTCTTTCTTGAGAGCTTTGAAAAAGTTGTAATTCTTATTGCAAGCTCCAAACACCAACATTGGCTTGCCTTTAAAAAAAAGAAGTAAAATTGGTGTGGTTGGTAACCATCACAGCTCCATCCCAAAAGCTGAAGGTGTGACTTGCCTGGGTCCTGCATGGGTTTGTGCTGGTTTAGCAGGCTGGGTAGGCAAAATTTCTGAAATGGCCTGCATGCAGAATCTTATCCAGAGAGCCTTTGTGGTCTGATGAGTCCCAAGAACCTCTTCACAGATCTCTCTCAGCAAATGTCTCCTCCCAAAATACTTCCCCCTAACAAACCTGGCAAAGTATTTTGATGTTTGCTGCAGTCAATCCGTGTCTTATCTAAAAAAAAAGGAGAGAAAAATGGATGAAACCCAACAGATATTCCCGCTTTCCAAAGTTTGTTGGGCCACGCCAACGTAGAAGGCTTCCGGAGGAAAAAGAGTGTAAATTTCAATGATTTGTGGCTGCCTGATCCAAATTGTGAGGAGAACATTTTAAAATAACAAGGTTCTCTTTCTGCAGATTCCTGGTTTTTCTGGGGGTCTTGGCTCTGAGGCATTCTGACCATTGGTTTTTTTGAAAAAGGAGGCGAGCCCACATAACCGAACGTAAAGCTTTTTAAAAAGCAGCTCTGCTCCCAAATTTTCTTTTTGCCTTGAGAAATCACGAGAACGATGCAAAGCCTCACACTTTGTATAGTCTGCCCCCAAGTTCTTTTTTAACCAATTAATAAGATCCCAGATTGTCTGCAAACACTGGAAAAAAATGGCTTATATATTTTGCTTCTTGTTACACAACGCCTAATTACTATTATCTTTTTTTTAATATATAAAAAAGAACAACAACCTGGCATATGTGTTATTTTGTTAAAAAATATGCTTGATAGGACAAAAATTACGCAGTTAAAATGCAAGCCAGTGCAATTCTGGGTGTCTTATTAAAATTCTTCTGTCTTGCTGGCATTTGTTCTGTGTTTGGGGCATCAGAATTGTCCGCTTGTTCCAACTCTGCATGTCTCTTTTTGTTTTCTCTCATATTCCCATTTTCCCAGTAGACAGTGCCCTGGTGAAAGAACCTTCGGATTTACTCAGCAGGCAAAAATGCCTCGAAGCTTTGGCGTCTCTGCGACACGCCAAATGGTTCCAGGTTGGGCTTTTTGTTCTTACCTATCGTAGCCTTTCAAAAAAGTTTTCTTTTAAAAATAATAATAGAAAATTAAAATAAATCATATAGTCGTTTAGGTTGGACCTCCCTGCAGACAAGAACAGGAACAATTCTGGTTTTTTTTAGGCCAGAGCGAACGGGCTAAAATCGTGCGTGATTGTTCTACGGATCCTCAGAGATTTATGCAACAGAGTTCCTACCTGGGCGCCTTTGAAAGGTTGGGTGAGTGTTGCTGAGTCCTCGTTTGCAAAAATTTGCTTAGGAGAATGCAGTCCAGAATTAATCTTTTTTGCCTCTTCTAATTTATTTATTTATTTTATTTATTTGTCAATAGCTTACAAGATAATAAACATAAGTATAAATACAGGAAATGGGTACAAATAATTGGGGACAATAGGACAGGGACGGTAGTAGTGGTGGGATTCAATTTTTTTTTACTACTGGTTCTGTGGGCGTGGCTTGGTGGGTGTGGCAGGGGAAGGTTACTGCAAAATCCCCCTTCCCTCCCCACCCTCCTAACCTGCTTTCCAGCTCCGTTCTCCTGTGCAGGGCAACCAAAGAAGACTCAGCCAATCACCTGGGACTCAATGGGAGGCAGAGAATAGATGGGGTTGGTGGGGCCAGTCAAAATTTCCGCTACCGGTTCTCCAGAACTGGTCAGAACTTGCTGAATGCCCACCTCTGGACGGTAGGCACGATTGTGCACTTATGCACGCCCCCTTACATACCTCTTAGGAAGGGGGCGAGCTCAACAGTGGCTAGTTTGAGGGAAAAGTTTTGGGGAGTTGGGGATGTGACCACAGAGTCAGGTAGTGCGTTCCAGGCACTGACCACTCTGTTGCTGAAGTTGTACTTTCTGCAATGAAGTTTGACGTGGTGTACATTAAGTTTATATCTGTTGTGTGCTCCTGTGTTGTTGCGGTTGAAGGTGAAAAAGTCATTGATTGGTAGTACATTAAAGCAGATTATTTTGTAAACTCTGCTTTTAAGTCAAACCGTAGGCGGCGTAGTTCTCAGTTGTCTGAATTCAAAACCTCAAGCCTGGTGGTGTAGGGTATTCTGTTGCAAACAGAGGAGTGTATTTCTCCTCCTCAGCACTTGAGATACCAGATAAACTCCCCTCAACCCCAGCCAGTTGTTTTTGTAAAAAAATAATCCTTGGCAGGTGTTGACTGTAGATTTTAGTGCCTTCTGTGGGACTTGGGCTAGGTTACCTGTCCATGAGACAGAATCTTCAGGGCAAACACCCAGTTGAACAACATCTCAAGAGCTATCCTCAACCACCCATGGTCCAGGATGGTCTCCTAAGCCAGGTCTGTTGAAAACAAAGAGCATCAGTGCAACCCTTATTCCTTTTGGTGGGCTAGAAAGACCAGGTTTGCACAACTGAGGAGAGGACCACATAATAGTTCCCAAGTTTGTCTCTTCTGCCCAAAAAGTGATGGATCCAAAACAGACGTCCTAGCTTTCCCCATTAGAGGAGCACTGGTAGAAGAAATGATGTGTAGCTCAGGGTTGAACAGTGGAGGACCTGGTGCCTTCTGAGCTTGGTTGGTGGCTTGCAGATGTCTCATTACCCAACTGGCTAACATCATCAATGAGGGGCACCCTTGTTGGCTCCCATCTCTGCTACAGAGCAATTTCCTCCCCCCTATTCTGGAATATGATATATATTCCACCCAAGAGATTTTTCTCCCTGGTCCAGATTGATCTGCTGGTTGATAGGAGTGACAACACAACATTCTGTACAGAAATTGTGTTTTATGTTCTGATGTCAACATGGACACTGGATCACATTACTGCGACTGGGCCCGTTGTACACTCAGATCTCATAACACCAATGGCCAGAATGGGATGGTGGGGTTGTGATTCTCCTTTGGTGGATCCAAACATTCAGATACCTCCAAGAAGAGGGCAGAATTTCTAACCATAGCTATGACGGATGGAAATTATTTGATGGCCTTTCTGAGCTCATGGTTGGACTTGCCTTGTCCGTCCATCAGTCCTCCTGTCTTTCTATGATATTTTTTATACCATTGAGTACTGACACCATTCAGTTGTCTTCCAGCCCTTGGAACTGCTGTGCGAGAAAGCCATTGGCACCTGCAACAGGCCGTTGGGTGCAGGGGAAGCTCTCCGCCGAGTGTTGGAGTGTTTGGCCTCGGGCATCCTGTTGCCAGGTAAGATCTGCCAAGCTTTTTCTTGAAGGTTGACCAGTCATGCATTGATGGACCACACTAGCATGTCCTATGTGGATGGTAGTCTTCCGGTTTGTTGATCCCGTGAGTTTAGAAGACACCTCTCCAAGGTCTTCTCTTAAGTAGGAGAATGAAATGGGTTGTCCATCCTTCTTGAGAGCGAGCAGAGGTCTTCTTCTAAGATCTGTTATCATGGGTGATACTAACCTAAAACACAGTGAAAGTTTTTCATGGATGTTCGTTCGTCTTCCTGAAAATACGTTCTCATTTTTGAGGTTGGCTTGGGGAACCTTGGCTGGTGCAAGTCAAGGATGGTTGGAGGAGCCATCTCTTTCATTCCCAACTGCCTCCACAGCTTTTCTCTTTAGACCTTCCTTTGAAATCCATATGCCAAACTGATGCAATCCAACTGATAACATTGTGTAAGAGAAAACTAGTCATTTTCCTCCCAGGTAGCTGTCAGAGCGTTTGCAGTGTAACTACTATTATGAGACAACCCAGGAGCAGAGCAAAGCACACAGAGACTTAGACATTTAACAGTGGTTTATCTACAAGACAGTTTATGTATGTGGTAGGCAAAATACCTTACAAGCAACCAATCTTCTTAACTCTACACGGAGAACTGTGCAATGGATACAGGACACAAGGAGAGAGAACACACCCTCTAATAGCTGCCTTTATATAGACACCTCTTAAAGAGCTAAAACTTCTGTGGATCCATTCTTTTTATCTTAAAAGGGCAATACCCATGCTATGCCGATTCATCCTTATTGCATCAGCCTTACAGCAACTGGTCAGCTCTTTCAATACCTTAACAGTAGCTCTTTTTTGTTGTTCTGTGGCATCATGATTATGGTTTTGAGCGCCATTGGAGAAGGTTGAGGGTTGAACTCCTTTCCTTGTGCCTAGGTGGGCCCGGCGTGCATGACCCCTGTGAACGAGAGCCAACAGATGCCTTGTCTAGCGTGACTGTTTCACAAAGGGAAGCCATAACCCATAGTGCCCAGGTAAAAACGGGCCAGCCACCTAGGTTGGTCTCCTTTCCCTCCAGCAATGGAGAACAAGGGCTTGTCATGTTTTAAAGGCACCCAACATCACTGCTTGGGGTGGTGGGTTGAAAGCTACCCAATCTCTGGAGCAGAGCGCTCTTTGGTATCGGAGTGGGGTTGACTCGCCGAATAACATTCTTCCTTCCTTCTATGTTTGACCCATTTTGATGGTTTCTACAGCATGCCCTGAGACTGTCGGCTTTTGGCCAAATCTACAAGGTGCTGGAGATGGATCCTCTCCCTTCCAATAAGTCGTTCCAGAAATATTCGTGGTCGGGGGCCGACAAAGAAGGTAGGTGCACCTGAAGGGCAGGCCAAGAAGTAACGGATGGAAACTAATCAAGGAGAGAAGCAGCCTGGAACTGCTGACAAGTGAGAAGAATTAATCCGTGGAACAGCTTGCCTCTAGAAGTTGTAGGCGCCCCAACACTGGAGATCTCTTTTAAGAAGAGATTGGACACCCGTTTTGTCTGAAATGGGATACAGTTTCCTGCCTGAGCAGGGGGTTGGACTAGAAGACCTCCAAGGTCCCTTCCAGCTCTCTTATTCTGTTCATTCTCCCTTTCCTTGACAGCTGATCTTCCAGTGATACAATCACGGTCTAATTAATTGCAACTAATTGACTGTGTACTGGAAAATTATAATCTCCGTGACGTTTTTAAATCCCTCATTGATTCAGTTGAGTTTTACTTTTTATTCCTCC